AAAATGCTCCGTAATTTGGAATTCTTAAGTGTAAAACCAAAAAATAATTGAATTAATCTCTTCACTGCAAACTTTTAGAATAGGACATAAAATATGTGAAGGCAACAACCAGAACTCAAAGTATTTACAGGCAAATATATTTATATACCGATGTAAGTGGAGAAATTTAACACTAACAAATAACTTACATTTGTTTAGATCAATAACCACTTTCCAGGCAACATCACTCTGTAACTCTGAAACTGTAAAAAACTGTACAGATATATGAATCGTGTGATCCCTGCTCAACATGTAATTGATATTAAACATACGGCTATAAGTATAAACGGAATCAAATCGCTGAGCGGACTTCGTCGTTCACCGCAACATTTCGCCTAGTAAAACGGAAACGAATCGAAATACGCATAAGTTGAATGACAAATTTTCCATTCTGCTTATTCCAGATAATTATCTACTAGAAAAGTGAAGAAGAAAAGCTTTTTATCACTGACAACTGATTTTGTGCCAGGCGACAGCGGCAAAATTAAAAACACATCTATTCTCGACGAATTTCGTCAGACGAACTTCGTGGCCGCTTTGGTTGTGTGCAAACTCATAAACTGCAGTGTGCTTTAATTTTGGCAGCTAACTTTTGAACAAAAAGCTTTCCGAAGTTTTATAAATAGCGAAATACACCACACAAGCGGCTTGTCAAACATTCTTCAAACCTGCTTTCTCCATGTCGCCATACACCATGCAAACATGACTCGTTCAAGCAAAGAATTCTAGTTTTCATTCGGTTCACGATGTAAAAGATTTTTTTTTTCTCTCTTGCGACCTCATTCGGTTAAAATTCCGTTGCGAAAGAGGCGATTAAACCCTACACAACGTAAGCNTTTTTTTTTTTTCTCTCTTGCGACCTCATTCGGTTAAAATTCCGTTGCGAAAGAGGCGACTAAACCCTACACAACGTAAGGGGTTTGATCAAACGTCAACACGGCGGCCAGAAAATCAAAAAATTTTGATTTTTGTTCACATTTCCCTTATACACCCTATACACAATATAAAAAGCTTTAAGCAAAGGGATAATAAGTAGGGTTTGTCAAATCGCTTGTGTGGTATTTTTCCCTCTTATCGGCCGTCTTCACGTGTTGGAAAATCTCGCTATAATGGTACCGTAGTTCTTCTTGATATTATGTATTATGTACGTTAACTATATAGTATGTACATTAGGGTGATTCAAAATTGGCTGCGGTGTTACTTTGACCAGGGCTTGAACCACAACACCACATCGGCCGTTGTTGAATTAAGTTCTAAAATACTTATATTTTTGTGACAACATCAGGACACACACCACAAATTGGAGGAGAAGCTCGGCCAAACACTTGGCAAAGGTGTAAGGACTAAAATATTATTATACTATTAACATTTGCAATGACTAGAAAAACACTAGGATTCAACATGGCGTATGAGGGATGTTGATCTGGTGTTTTTTTATTTGATGTTTAATAATATGTAATGCTGAGGTCCACTATAGACATGAATTATAATGTGATCGTAGATGTATTTAGCATATGCTCACTGGTTAAGGAACAAAAAAAGATTATTGCAAATATTAATTGTTTATAAGGCAAAACTTAATTACCAACTAATTAATAAATGCGTTTAAAATTAATTTATCGAACTTATATAAACTATGTTCAATTAAACTGATATTTTGGAATCTGCTTACGAAATTTCAGCGAAATCCGCCAAGATTTGATAAAAATATACCTATTTGTTTATAAAGATGCATTTAAAATTTGTGGTTTGCGGAAAACAAACAACAGCGTTGAGCGATCTCTAAACCGTGTTCAAATAAACTGAAATTTTAGAAGAAACTTGTCCTCCCTCTTGCCTTCAAGAATCCGAACGTTCTCAGTCGAAATTCGAAAAAGTTCCAATTTTTAATGACCCTAATATGTATTAGAAGATTCCCCATTTAAAATACTAGTTTGCATGTTTTTTTCTTTCAAAATTCTCCAGCTCAGAGGTATTTTTTGGTATAATATTGGTCAATGATGGATTTTCTTCAGAATTGAATGCTCTACAAAAGCATCCATTCGGCGTAACCGTTACTCCCACCAGCGAGCTAGCATTTTGCAAAAAATTATACAACTTCTGCAAAGTTCCACCAAAGTTCCAAACTTGTAACTAGAATTCTTACAAAAAATCGGCATTAAATTTTAGTACAATAATGTGCAAGCTTCAAGTTGGTGAAAAAGCCCTTGATTTCTGACATTTTTTCTTGCAGCGTCACGCATTTTCTTCCATACAAAGTACGTTCGAAAATTCTTCCATACATATGTACATACCCTAAAAAATATTTTGTCAGAAATTTATATTTATGTACATATATGGTTTTAAAGAGCTATACTTTTATATTAAAATAATGAACCTAAAATAAAGCAAAAGAAAAGTAGACAAAACTGGTAAAAATATTGATAGTACATATGTACGCAATGGAACTATTGTACAGAAAATATAAATTTTTGTAGCGTTTCAAGAGCACTTCGCTGGCCTATATCTTTCATACTAAAATGACAACATCGTCGAATATGTAAAACAGCTATAACGAAATGTGGAATTTGCTCGGCATTCCATGCTAAAGCCTATTTACACCATTTGTTTATGTCTTCGAAGATTTAAAAGCTGCTCAAAACATACGCGGAGCTGTACAATCCCCTACGTCGTAGGACCTACGATATACATATTTATGTATATACGTTGATTAAATGGAATTTTGTACCGATGCTGCTGAGCCGGCCTTTGAATGAAAACAGCTCATTAAATTACAGTGTAAGCTCTCTAAACGGACACTTCCTTTGGTATATTCCTGTACCAATTCTTGGGTATAATTTTCGGAATAAATTAGCCGTTCTTTACCGTTAGGCCTTACAAAATTGACACAAACACCTCTATTGCGTTGAACTTTTCATCAATGGTCATTAAGATTCATAGCGAAATCAATCAAAAACCTCTCGCGGACAAACGCGAACTGCTTATAAGCGGACATTAAAAGAGCATGAAAATATAAAACAAGTCAATGAAATGCTCGTTAGATACATACAGTGGGGCTCATCGTTGGTGATCATTGATTTTTGATAGCGGTGTTCCGCATTTTCCTTCATATAAACAACTTTTCGAGCATTCGTTATATGTTTAAAAAAAAAAAAATACGAAACACCGGCTGCAAAAATATCAAAAATTAACGATAATTTTAATCACTTTAAACTTGCACATCACTAAAATTGAATAGGGTACAAAACTGCATACACAAAAAATAAATATAACTTTGAACATTTCGGTGATAGTTTTTTGAATTTCGCACAATGTTTAAAACATTGGCCAGCTTTTTTGGCCAATGCCGGCACCCCTTATATAGCAATTATCCTTATTAAGATAGCCATTCACTCAAAAATGCGATTGTCGCTTAAGATGATTTCTTACCGCTTGAATAAGGCAAAACAATGATTCCGCCGCATGACTAAAGAAAAGATATCCAGTGGCATCACAAACTGGCTTAAGTTTGCCACTCTGAACTATATAGGTAATGGCAACTACCTTAACCTTGCTTTGTCTACGGTCTTAAGAAGCTTCCCAAAATATATTACCCATTCGATTAATTCAAAGCTGACTCATACGAATTCATTGCCTGGACGTGGTATGAAAGTTGCTTTAATTAAATTCCTCCACAGAAGGGCAAGATGTACTTTCGAAACGAAAAACTCAATTACACACAAAGAGATTTTCCATAAATTAAATTTTTTATTTAAACTATATAAATATTAAATCTACCTACGCCCATTTAAATAATTCCGCTTCATTTGTCAATACTCGCCAACTTCTCATCAATCCACGGTCTCAACGCGGGCACCTTGGCATACACACCCGGATATTCCTTTTGTGCGCAACCCACACCCCACGACACAATACCATACAATTTCGCCGCACCACGATAGTACGCGACCAGCGGGCCACCGGAATCACCCTGACAAGCGTCCTTGCCACCATTTCTGTAGCCAGCGCAGAACATTTCTGTGGTGATGGGCACAACGTACTTGTAATTCTGCATGCACGTCTCTTGGTATATAAGATTCACATCCACGTAGTTCAACGCCGATGAAACAGATCCCGTCTCGCTTGTTAGGCCCCAGCCACTAACGTACAGCTTCGCTTGTGCAGACAAAACTGCATTCAATTCTGCCAATTGTACTGGTTTCACCGCTTGCGTATATATCAAGTCTTGCTCGAGCTGCAACAGCGCGACGTCGTGATTGTAGGTAGCACTAGAGTAGTCCTCATGCCTGAAGATGCGTTGTACGGTGCGCAATTGACCACCATATGCATGTTGCGAAGAGCCGGCACGCACTTTGAATGCATTCACCGCCATCGATGGCNACGACCGTCGAGGTTAAACCAATCCTCCTCGTCGTCCTCCCCACCTACCTCGACAACATGATTTTCATTTTGAGTGGCTGGAGAAGCGTAGCTGGCATATCGAAGGCAAAGACTGAAAATCAAAAGAATGTAAAATCCACGCATTTTTGGCAAATAAGAAGTTAAAATTAAAGTTGAGTAAGTAGCTTGTTTGCTGGTAACTAAATAAATGATAACATATTTTCGAAATTCTTAACGTTTTATACTACCGCAAACTTTCATTAGTTTCGCTCTTATCTGCGCATTACCGCTTATCTCCGCTAGACGCCCATACGCTTTTATGCTAAAAACACATTACAAAACAAAAAAAAAAGCATGTAGCTAGAACATATTACCAGCGCTAAGTGTCAAAAAACTTTACTGAAGGCTGCTTCATATCTTTTTACGACTTTCTTTTGTTTATCCACTCCACAATTTTGTCAATTACCTTAGCTGGGCGGCAACCTTTAAATTTATTTGTTTACTACGATCCCATGGATTTTGTTCGCGCTACGGTTAAGCACTTCAAGATCACGGCAAATATTTGCCAGCTGATTACGCACATCTATAAAAAGATCATTTCACAAAAAGTCATATTATTTATTTTAATTTGGGAAATAACCGGTAGTATTTAAAGCTTTAGGAGTCACTTTTACGTACTGACCCTCAATTCGAACGAAAGTTCAAGTTGTAAGAGATCTTAAAATTGCGTGAATACGTATAAACTTTTAAGAATTATGTAATTTTTTGAAATTCTTGGCCTTGCAGTTTTAAATAAATAATCCCACTATCCTACTGAACCAGATTTGGTTTATTTCTTTATTATCTTCTTGTTGTAAAATACAGAGGCAATTTCAATTTCTTATTCTTCTTGATTGTCCTAGTCCAAAAAAAGCACGCCGGCCATTTCGCTTCTATATCAGCTGACGCCAATTAGAAATTCCAAGTGAAGCCAAAACCTTCTCCACCTGGTCTTTCCACCGTAGAGGAGGCCTTCCTCTACCTCCGTTGGCAACAGCGCGATTCGCGTTGTATATTTTCTGAGTTGGAGCGTTTCCTTCCATTTGTACGACGAGTCCGAGCTGGAGGAGCTGCTGTATTTTAATCCGCCGCACTGCCTCTACGTATATACATACATATGTCGGCGTAAAGCTCATACAGCTCATCGTTCACTCGTCTGCAGTATTTTCCGTCGCCAATGCGCAATACACTCCAAGAGCCGCCTCATCACATGTTCTCATTGCCTAGAAGTTCGAATTCGTCTTATCCAATACTTTCATTGCTGCTGCCATTCGATAGAGTGTAAAAGTGTTCCCTCCATAATTTACGTACGTTCTGGACATCGGTAACTAGGTCACCATAGTTGTTCTTACATGAGTTCCCCCAGGTCTTGAAATTTTCCTTAAGTGGCCTAATTCTATGGAAAAAATTTGCGGACGCTTTCCCTGGCGGCCAGCATTCTTATTGGGGCCAATATGTCTCGCTTCCCTCTTCAGTTCCCCATAACGTGCCCTCCACGGCCAGTAGAATATTCATTTAATTTTTTTTATTCATTCAATTATAACTATATTTTTTAAAGTTGTTTTTAGTTAGTTGTCTTTGACTTTTTTAGTAATATTAAACTCTAAAAATTTAAATTAACTAATAACAAAATAAAANATTTAAAAAAAAATTTTGTAAAAATAAAAACAAGATTTTTTGGCAATCGCTCCAACCGAAGATCGAACCTGGGACCTGCAGCCCTCATCACTCGGCTATCGCGGATGAAGTGCTTTCTTTGTAGAACATAAAGAAACTTCAAAACAAGCATGGACATCCACCTTGTCGTTGGTAATGCAGTCACCGCATTAATTCAAATAAGTTCTTATTCAATTTCAATGGGATTACTATCTGAATTAGTATGGTGACTGCATTACCGATGAAAAGGTCCATGTTCATGTTAGTTTTGCCCTTTCTCTGTATTCTACGCTCTAAGTTTCGGTCAGTGTTGTCATCGAATATTCCCTTCATCCGGATTAAGTTTGGGGATTAACTCTAGGACTTAATCCGGATCAACTGCAGTTAATTCCCGAGATAATTCCAAATTGACGAGTTGATCCGGATCAACGCTGCCCTCTGTTTATGTTTTTAGTGACATTCAGAGAGCAGGTGTCCGTCTCGAGTGGCAAATAAATTGGCCGTCTGTTATGATTGCAGCTTTTCGACCTTGCTTTACTGGACGCAAATTTTTTGCTGCATCGGGTCATTCGCGTATCTTGGCTTTAACAACACCATGTTCCCATGTTCGATGTTGGGTAGTGGAAGTGTCCATACTGAAAGCGTGCCTTCCGTCTATCACCACATGAACGATTGGGTTCCTTGTATTCTTCTTGTATATTTCCATTCTGAGGCAGCCATGGAGCTTATGAATATCGTTAAGTTGGAATCAATGCTCAGTTCGTTATCGGGCGTTTCGGAGAGGCGGGGTAGATGGTGACCGACTCTTTATGAATACTGTTTGTCGCTCGTATGTACGTTGTCGGGTCCAGTAGTTGGGCAATGTAAGTCTGGACAGCGTCCTTTTACTTGAAAAGATTTCTTCTGATGTGCCTGGGGTAGGCTCCCCCTCGGTTTCGGTTATAACCTAGCGAATTCGCAACGTGCGATGCGAAAAAATCGCTATCAGCGATGAATTACAATAATTTGTATGGCGCCGTTAATCGCTGCATCATAAACACCGCCTTATAAATTTGATCACTATTAGCGATTTTAATCGAATATCGCGGCGCGAATATGCTAGGTCATAAACCTGGCCTGGGTGCTTATGTCGTTAAGTGCTGTTGTGGTCTGTACACTTAGGGGAAGCCATGTTGGTGTTTCGCTGCGGTCAGGTTGTACGTATAGTACTGATCCACACATGAACTCACAATCTTTTCATTTCCAAATAGAGGAAATGTAACTAATCTAAGAAGACATTTANTGGCTGCAAGCTGAGCATTTAATTTATTTGTATAACGAATGCATTTTAAAGCAAACACTTAACAAAATGCTTAAGTCAAAAAACTATATGTGCAAAAGTTAAATGAAAATTTAATAATAAATCGTCCTAGATTCACATTCATTAACTCAACCAAAAATATCTATCTAATATAATATACTAAACCTCTAGAAATGTGCGTCTGTACATTGAAAATCTCTTTAAAAGAATGACCGAAGGTGATCCGGGGAATATAATAGAATACATTTGGACCATTTTTAGAATTCTTGTCTGCCTGTTTGAACTCACTACAGGAACTACAGAATGGATTTTCATGGGGCTTTAACTGGTATCTAGACAGTGACCTCGGATATAGGGTACCTCCCATAGGCGTGAAATTTTTAATCGGCAATAACTTCGGAACAGTAAGTCACATGTCTGCGAAATTTTGGCGTGACAACAGATCTATGATAGATGCTAATCAGCTTTAACTTCCAGACTTAAGAATCACATGACTTCGAAATTTGGTGTGAAGACTTATCTAAGGTAGGCGCTTATAGCGCGGTAAATATAAATAAGTTTGTAAAAGGCCGCACATTCCGTAGCCGTGGAATTTTACATTCGCTATAATATGAAATTTGGTGAGAAGATCTTTGGTAAGTGCATACAAATGAGTTTATACAAAAGGGCGTGGCGTTTATAGTAAACTGAAAAACAGTGTGCGTTTACCACAAGCGTGGCATGTGAATGTTTAGCGAATTCAAATGTGTACATGGGCAGAGAGTCCACCCTAATATTGTTGAGATGGCTCTAAGTCTGTCTAACCAGGGTGCGGGCAATAACCGGCTTTTAGCTTCAGGCGCTAAACGGATAAGTAGTATATCAAGCAACATTGACGGGCCTTCAACAAGTACTGCTAAAAGTCTTATAAGCAACCTAGATATAATTTTAGATTCCTCCAGCGAAAGCGAAGGCTCGGATTTAGAATCTGAAGGCCCCTTTTGAACTGACTACTAAATTTAAATACCGTATAGGTTAAGCATTCGCTCGATTTTCCAATAATTCACAAAATTTTTAAGTAATATAAACGATGACTTAAGTTGGTT